TTCTTTCCAATTAACCATGAAAAATCTGGAAGTGGATCTGTGGTTCAAGTAGTAGAATGCTAGCCTTGAGCAAAAATGCTCAGGAACTGTGCCCTGACTCTGAGTTCAAGCCCCAAGAGCTTTGTGTGCACGCACACACACACACACACACAAATAAATTAATAATAATAAGTGCAGAATAAAAGACAAGGACTGCAGTAGAGCTTATCTGACTACCAAGCTTAAAGCCTTGAACTCAAACCCAATATCACCAAAAGTATGCGAGTGTGTGTATGTATATATGTACACACACATCTAGATAGGTATGTATATATATATATATATATATATATATATAAACCTATAACCTATCTATAGGTGTGTGCATGTACATACACACACACATATATATATATGATACTCATGTATTTAATGGTATATCATCTATTTAGTTGATACTCGTCTACTTAATAATGTCTGACTTTTAGACCCCTTAGCATTGTAACAGGCTTTCTCTGGTCAGATGTTTCTTCAGTTATTGATTCTCTTACCTTTTGTTATAAATATGATCACTTTATGTGTGGTGCTTGAGCACATCATGCTAATTCTGAACTCTGAATTTTGCCTGACATTCATCTATCTATCTATCCATCCCACTAACACTGAGTTAAGGTTAAGCCCTGCCAATAAAGAGGTGTGGGTGACATACAGCAGCTCTTCTCTGAGAACTAACATGATATGAAAAAGATACTATAAGAGAAGTAGTCACCACTGTGGTAAATGTCATCAAGAAGAAATGTGTATTGCAATGGAAACACACTATGGTAAAACTCACCTTGTTTGTGGGATAGAGAGCTTCTCCAAGTGATTTTAAAACAAATCCAAAGGGTGAATTCAAATTAATTGGACAAAAGAGAAGGAAAGGCTTCCCTCCTTTCATGTCTTATCACTCTGTTTCCTCTCTTTATTTTTTTATTTTTTATTTTTGGGTCCAGTCATGGGGCCTGAACTCTGAGCCTGGGCACTGTCCCTTAGCTCTTCAGCTCAAGGCTAATGCTTTACCACTTGAGCCACAGCGCCACTTCTGGCCTTTTTCTTTTTGCTTATGTGGTGCTGAGGAATCGAACCCAGGGCTTCATGCATGCAAGGCAAGCTCTCTACCACTGAGCCACCTTCCCAGCCCCTATTTCCTCTCTTTCTCTCAGTCTCTCTTTCTCCATTAGCAAACATTATTTCATTGTGACATTTGCATGCATATATACAGTGTATTCCAATATACCTCCTGCCATCCCTGTCCTTTACCATTCCCTTTTTATAAAACAATTTCATCAGGTTTCATTGTTGTATTTTCATACTTGCTGACAATCTTTTTTGACCATATTCATCCTCTTTGATCCTCATCAGCTCAACTTCTTTTCATTAGTTCCTACTCTTCCCCCCCAAAAAAAGCCTGTTTATCACCTTTTCTTTTAGGCTTACTCTAATGATTCTATTTAAAATTGGAACTTGGAAGGCTAAGGCAGAAGGATCACAAGTTGGAAGCCAACTTGTCTACACAGACAAAAAAACAAAGCAAAAGCCCAAACCTGAGAGTCCATGTTCCCTAACCTCCTCCAACTGCTGCTGCTGCTGCTGCTGCTTCTCTTCTTCTTCTTCCTCCTCCTCCTCCTCTTCTTTCCTCCTCCTCCTCCTCCTCCTCTTCCTCCTCCTCCTCTTCCTCTCCTCCTCCTCCCCCACCTCTTCCTCTTCCTCCTCCTCCTCCCCTACCTCCCTCCTCCTCCTCCTCCTCCTCCTCCTCCTCCTCCTTCTTCCTTTTTTGCCAGTCCAGTGGTTTGAATTTGGAGCTTGGGCTCTGTCCCTGAGCCTCTCTATGCTCAAGGCTCTACCACTTGAACCACAACACTACTTCTGGCTTTTTTATGTGGTACTGATGAATTGAACCCAGGATTTTATGCATGCTAGGCAAGTACTCTATCACTAAGCCACATTCCCAGCCCCCTCCTCCAACTTCTTATCCTGTTCTATAGTAGGCATTTCATTCATTCAGTGTACATTATTCATTTTGTTTGTTGTTTATTACCTGTTTTCCCATTAGAGTGTAGTTTCCAGAAATGAGAAATTTTTATGATTATTGTTGTTTTACACTGATGCAACCAAACACCTAAAACAGTCACAGATATAGCTGATACTTAATATTTGTTGAATCAATGGATGCCAGAGGAAAAGAGGTCACAGAGCAAAGGTATATAGCTCGGCTTTAGACAGCTACCCTTCTTGCTAGCAAGAACGAGGAAATAGTGCAAAACTAAGTAGTGTATGTCTCTGTGCTGGTCCTGGTGCTTGAACTCTAGGCCTGGACACTGTCTCTGAGTTTTTTAATACCCTACCACTTCAGTCACAGACTCTACTTCCAGCTTTTGTGGTGTTTAATGGGAGATAAGAATCTCACAGTTAGGCACTGGTGGTTCACACCTGTAATCCTAGCTACTCAGGAAGCTGAGATCTGAGAATCATGGTTCAAAGTCAGTCCAGGCAGAAAAGTCCATGAGACTCTTATCTCCAATAAACTACTCAGAAAAATCAAGAAGTGGCACTGTGGTTCAAGTAGTAGAACACAGCCATTGTGTCATTTGCAGGGAAATGGATGGACCTAGAACAAATGATGTTAAGTGAAGTAAGGCAAGCTCAGAGACACTAACCAGCATATGTTTTCTCTCATATGTGGAAGCTAGATATAACATACACTGGGACATGATAAATTATACAGGACTCTAGGCATTCACACACAGTGAGTCCAAAGGAGGATACTCTTAGGAGAGGAACACAGAGGCACAATGCCTATGTGCATCTGATCATACAAAATAATATTTATCAAAATGAACTCCAGGAGCTTTTTTCCTTTGAAAAAAAGAAAAAGATGGAAGAAGAACATTTCAAAGAAATCAGATGTCCTCTAGGTCCAGAGAGTTGCCCCTGTCTGATGGCCAAGGAAGAAACAAGGACCTCTAAGCCCCACAGCTACCAAGAGCTGAGTCCTATCATCAAAATGAATATACTTGGAAGTGGATCCCTCCCCACAGTGTCTGCAAATGAGGAGTCAGCCCAGTCAACATTTTGTTATACCCCAAAGCAAGTCATGCTGGAGATCTAAGTTATAAACCTGTGAAATCCTACAAGGGTTTTGGGCTTTTGAGCTTCTTATTTCCTGATACTATGTTATAACGCCACAGATACTTTGTATGATCCAAGGTTCTCCAGAAAAGAAAGCAAAAACAAAAGCAAAACCCAAAAAACAGAAGCATAGGCAGAAAGGCGATCATATCAGCTGGAGAAACAGGAAAGCTGCTCCTTATAACTCAGTTATAGTGTCGTCATGAGCATCAGGATGAACTCAAATTTGCCCAAAGAGCAGATTTACCTTTCCTCTGCCTCATAGTTCTATCCAGGAAATAGACTGGATTATACTCCTCCACACTGGTAAAGGTGATGTTTACTCTGTCTGCCAGAGAAAGGAAGGGGGGGGGGGGGGGGGGAAAGGAGAGGGAGACAGGAAGGAAGGAAGGAAGGAGAGAGAGAGACAGGATGAGGAAGGGATAGAGAGGAAGGGAGGGAGAGTTCAAAGTTTTTACTTGAACAAGTGAAAATGGCTTGTCATGTCCTGAAATGGGAAAGAACAGGTTTCTTTTGTGGGGGAAAAAAAGATTAAGAGTTTCTAGGGATATTTTTTGGGGGGAGGTCCAGTCATGGGGCCTGAACTCTGGGCCTGGGCGCTGTCCCTCAGCTCTTCAGCTCAAGGCTAGCACTCTACCACTTGAGCCACAGTGACACTTAATGCTTTTTTTTTTTTTTCTTATGTGGTGCTGAGGAATTGAACCCAGGGCCTCAGACATGCAAGGCAAGCGCTCTACCACTGAGCCACCATCCCAGCCCCTTTCGGGGTATTTTAAGGTTTTAAGTTTGCAATACTTAATCTGATATCCAACTGGAGACATTAAGTAGTTAGATATAAAAATCTGAATTTCAGAGGTGAGGTAGGGCTGGATTTCTGCTGTTGTTTTAAATCATTCAGCTGAATTTTAAAAATCACCTCAGCCACTCTTAGATTTCCTGGTCCTCAACTAGATGGGCAACTAGTTGAGATTAAAAAATTAGTCTTTTACAAGGCTTTTGTCTTACATGGGTTTCTTTTGGAAGGAGGGTTGCTTCAAATGGGTATGGGGTGGCAGGAGTAAATCTCAAAGTCATACCTTGTTGAAACTTGCACTAATTTACATATTCACTAAGTGGATAACCAAGACCCCCCCCCCCTCCCCCCCCCCCCTCCGCCAGCTAGTGCTCCTAATGAATCGTGTCATTCATTTTTCATATTAAGCAGGTTCCTCTGAGAGGCCCCCAAAGCCTGAAGAGTGGTAGTTGGCTGGCTGGCTTCGGGTCCCTCCCCACCAGGCATTGTACCTGCCTCTAAGCCCCGCCCCCCCAACCCCCCCCCCTCCCCGTCACGCCCTCATTCTTCCTCCCAGCTGAGGCTCTCGCCTTCCCAGGATGTGGTAACGGTTCTAACAGCTAGGGGTCGGGGGAGGGGGCGCTGCTGAGTCCTGGCTCAGGATCAGCAAGAATCCCTTTTTCTGGGCTATCCAGGAGCAGCACCACAGCCCCTACCTCCCTCCAAAAATCCACCTTCCCCCTCCCCCCCCCCCCGCCTTCCTCTCCTGCCCCATTCCTTTGCTTTTTCTTTCTCCAGGCCTCCCCATCGTCTCCCAACCAAAGTTGATATTGTGTGGGCTCCTGGGCTTCCCGTCCTTAAGATCTTCCCAACCTGCTGGCAAAGGCGTCAAGGGGCTGGAGCTTTGCTGTCTCTGAGTCTCCAAGGTGATTGCCTGCTTCCACTTTGTGTGTCAGTGTGCCTCTCCAAGGTATGGCACCTGCCACACAGCCTCTCTGTGTCGATGACTGTGATTAAGGTGAGCCCATGCACCGGACCCAAATCTAAGTTCATTCATTTCTCCCACAGACGCTGCCCAATGAAACCTCACCAGCAGACCTTTCCCTTGTCCCGTCCCTTGATTCCGACATCTCTTAAGCCAGGTGAGGAATCCTGGGAGGAAGGAAGGAACTGTTGCACCAGGTAGAGCTCCCGCAGCTCACCAGGACCTTTTCTTCCTAGTGTTTAGGGAAACAGTTGGGAGATTGTGAAGGTCTCACCATACTCTAATCTGGCTCTGCCTTACAGCTCCATCCATTTCCCTATTGTAGATGGGTTTTTCTTCCTTTCCACACAATTCCCTTAACCTGGCCCAGAACTTGAGGGCTCTTTTCCTACCTCTCTTCTGGGCTGGGCCATGCAGGTGAGGACCAGCAGCAGAGCGCTTGGAACTGGCATTTGGACCCTGAGCTGTGGGCCAGGTCACTTCGACAGCAATTGAACATTCATCTCCTTTATCTGGAGAAAGAGAAGGCAACAGTGTCTACTGGTCGGTCTTTGACTAATATCAGAGAGTCTCTGGACAGCAATGAACGGCCCCGGGTCTCTAAGAAGAAACGAAGACAATTCCTGAAGGAAATAGAAACGTCTACACTGCTGGAGCTCCTGATTGCTGAGATCAGAGCTCTGTTCTCAGCTGTGCTGCAGGATGGCAGCTCTGCAGCTTGGCGATACCTGCATGCAGTACTAGGTCTGTTGCCTCCATATCGTGAGATACTAGCCAATTGTCTTGATTTGCTGCCCTTCCTGGAACAGCTTTACTGTTGGGCACCCAGGGTGCAAGTCCAAGTCCACCTGGACCTGCTAGATGCCATAGACAAGGCCTTTCCTCCAGACAGCTCTCTGTTACGCTGTGCCTCCCATGTTGATTGCTCTCCTAGGAAGAAGAGATTCTATCGAGAGTCCCCTTGCCCTGCCTGCTCTTTCTTGCAGGCCCAGTGGAGTGGGAAACAAAAAAAGAAGAAATTGGCCACATGGTCACGACCATTGACACTTCGTGAGTTTCAGCACTGCCTGGGCATTGTTGGTGCTGAAGTAGCCCTAGAAGAGACCCATTGGCTGGATGGCCTTAGTCTCCTGCCCTTGGCCCTGGCGACCAACATCCCTGTGCAGTATGAAAGCAGTGACACTGACTACTCAGACTCATATGTTGAAAGACAGACTAAGTGAGTGAGTGAATGGTCTGGTCTGGGACTTTGATCAGGGGAGAAAAAGAAATCCATTCGTGAGTGCCCAGAAGGCCCCTAAAATGTCTCTAGCCAGTTCATTGTGCCTCTCACCAATTACTCTAACCCCAAGCTGAGCTGATGTTTGTGAGACTGATCCAGTGAGGTTTTGTTTTGTTTTGTGTTGGTTGTGGGCCCTTAACCCTGGGCTTGGGCACTGTCCCTCAGCTCTTCAGCTCAAGGCTAGTGCGCTACCACTTGAGCCACAGTGCCACTTCTGACTTTTGTTGTTTATGCGGTACTGAGGAATCAAACCCAGGGCCTCATACATCCAAGGCAAGCTTTCTTTTTTTTGGGGGGGGGAGGGAGGAGGTCCAGTCGTGGGGCCTGAACTCTGGGTCTGGGCACTGTCCCTCAGCTCTTCAGCTCAAGGCAGCACTCTACCACTTGAGCCACAGTGCCACTTTCAGCTTTTTTTCTTTTTGCTTATGTGGTGCTGGGGAATTGAACCCAGGGCCTCATGCATGCAAAGCAAGCGCTCTACCACTGAGCCACCTTCCCAGCCCCCAAGGCAAGCTTTCTGAGCCCCGTTTTTGTTTGTTTGTTTGTTTTTTAATGAAAAACAAAAAACAGCATCTCAGTGTTAATCCCCATAGGGAAGGCAGCAATTGAAAGTCAAAAGTCTGGGCTGGGAATGTGGCTTAGTGGTAGAGTGCTTGCCTAGCATGCATGAAGCCCTGGGTTTGATTCCTCAGGACCACATAAACAGCAAAAGCCAGAAGTGGCACTGTGGCTCAAGTGGTAGAATGCTAGCCTTGAGCAAAAGAAACTCAGGGATAGTGCCCAGGCCCCAGGACTGGCAAAAAAAAAAAAAAAAAGTCCACCATCAGGAAACCAAAGTTGCAGGAAATAGCTTGGCTTTCCAAAGTCAGGTAAACAGTATGTTTCTCTTTGGACAATGTTACCCCTTCCCTCCCTCCCAATTTCCCTATAATTTGTTATAATTACAATTAATCCAGTGTTGTTATTCATGTATGAGAAAGGAACTGGGAGCTGGGAGCTGGTGGCTCACACCTATAATCCTAGCTACTCAGGAGTCTGAGATCTGAGGACCATGGTTCAAAGCCAGCCTAGGTAGGAAAGTCCATGAGACTTTTATCTCCAGTTAACCACCAGAATACCAGAAGTGGCACTATGGCTCAAGTGATAGTGCATTTACCTTGAGCTGAAGAGCTGAGGGACAGCGCCCAGGCCCAGAGTTCAAGCCCCACAACTGACAGAAAAAAAAATTTTAAAGGAAAGAAAGAAATAAATAAACAGGGTATTTACATGTCCATATGAGTAGCTGGTTGAGGGGCTCTGGCAGTATCACACAGCATCACATCACCTCAGGCACCTGTTCTAGCTCCTTCTTTCATAGACCGTCACTGGCTACGGCCATCTCTAGGTATCTGACCTTTTGGTCTGTTTTCTTCCTCTGGCTTTTTGTCATATAGGTCTCAGTTGGACTATGAAATTCCTCAAAAATCTCTCCCAGGGAGAAGTATTGGCTTCCTGCATGAGTTTTCCTACCCAGCTAGTCAGGTGGTGGCCATCATGAAGACTGAGAAGTACCTGAGGACCATACACTTCCTCTACCTCAATGTGGCTCCCAATCGCCACTTTAAGTAAGAGCCATAGCCCAGACCCCTTTTTTGTTTCTTTCTTTCTTTCTGACCTCCTCCTGCACTATTTCCTTTCCTCCTGTCTCCCTGCACCTGTTCCTGTCCCTATTTCTTTCTCCCAGTAACCCTCTTCTGTCTCCTAGTTTCCCCCCCCCATCTCTTCTCAGCAGCTTCCTCCTCACCCATCCTCTTTGTTCCTCATTTGCTGTTGCTGCCATTTGTTTTCGTCATCCTTTTTTTTTTTTTTTGTCTTCCTCACACTTCTTTCTTCTTTATATTCTAGAATGAGGAAGATGTTTGGTCCTAGCCTCCAAAGCATATTCAAGAGTGTTTTGTTATTTGTTTGCTTTCCAACTCCAAGGCAGTAATCAGATATTTAAATCTTTAGTGCCAGGGAAGCATTTATCTTCCAAAACCATCCATTTCCTTAGACTGAATCCTTTGTTTTGTTTTGTTTTTTTTGTTGTTGTTCATTTAACTTCTGCTTCCTGGTTTTATTTTATCTCTAGGTCTATCAAAAAAAAAAAAAGTCCTTCCATATGACCGAAGACACTCATTCACTTTCTCCCATTAGGTTTAAATTACATCCCTTTTTGAAAATAGATTTTGGATTTTTTTTTTGCCAGTTCTGGGGCTTGAACTCAGGGCCTGGGCCCTGTCCTTGAGCTTCTTTCGCTCAAGGCTAGAGCTTTACCACTTGAGCCACAGTGCCAATTCTAGCTTTTGCTGTTTATGTGATACTGAGGAATTGAACACAGGGCTTTATGTATGCTAGGCAAACACTACCACTAAGCCACATTCCCAGCCCTTGATTTTTTATTTGATAATCATTGTACATATTTATGGGGTGCAGTGTGATAGTTCAGTATCTATGTATGATGTGTATTGATCAGATCACAGTTGTTGGCATGTTTGTCACCTTAATCATGTACTGGTTCATTGTGGTGGGAGCATTCAAAACACTTTCTACTAGAAAAGTTCAATTAGGAAGTGGCGCTGTAGCTCAAGTGGTAGAGCGCTCGCCTTGAGCTGAAGAGCTGAGGGACAGTGCCCAGGCCCAGAGTTCAAGCCCCACGACCGACAAAAAAAAAAAAAAAGAAAAGTTCAATTAACGACTGGAAATACTCAATTAACTGTTGTTAGCAGTAGTTTTCCTATTGTACAATAGAACATTATAAAATATTTCTCCTGTCCAGTTTCACCTTTGTCCCATACCATTAATTATCCCCTCTGTACCCTCTCTCCAACATACCCCCCTCAGGCCCTCATTCCCACTATTAAGATGACACCTTTTCTCACATGTACACATTTCAGAAAATGTGATGCAGTCTCACAATGGAAACATTTTTTAACCTTATTTTTTCATAAAATACTATTGCCGCTGGCAGTCAACTGTGTCTTAAATTTGATGGGCTATAAGAACCTGACATATGAGCTTAGAACAGAGTAGGTACCATTTTCTTCTTGTTTATCCTAGGCTTTCATTTCTTCTTCATATTATTCCTTTCATCTGTCTAGTTTGAAAATCACTTTGCTCTCTTTCTTTTCTCTCTACTTTCCTTGGCCTTTCTCCCTGCATCCTCTTTGGTCTGCCTCAATTTTGTTTTGTCATTGAAATATGCACACACCTCTTTGGTTCCTTGTTGATCTCAACTTTTTTGCTTTATTTATTAAACATATTCCTAAATATTTTTGTGATCCTATTTTAAATAGAATTCAAAGTATTTCTTTTAAATTATATATCTATTGTCTTAAGAATTACAAAATTCTTGTATACTTATATTACACAAGGTGAGCAGTCACATGGTGAAAGTGCCATATACACATATAATATACTCTGTATTCCTTTCTTTTATTGCTCTTTCTTATTCCCACAGCCTCCCTTTATAAAAAAAAAAAATCTTCCTTCAAATTTTGTTTTGTGCTGGCACTGAACTTGAACTTAGGGCCCTGAGCTCTGTCTGTCTCTGCTTTTTGGTTCACAGCTGGTGCTCTATCATTTGAACCAGCCTTCAGTCCTGGCTTTTGCAGATTTTTACTACTTAATTAGAAATAGAACTCTCTCAGATTTGTCTGTCTAGTCTGTTTCTACATTTGGATCCTCATATCTCAAATTCTTGAGTAGCTAAAATTCCAGTTATGAGGTATTATGTCCAGATCTCTTACAAAATTTTAAGTGGCTTTTATCATGAATTTCATATGTGCCTACAATATACTTTAGTCATATTCTCCCTCAGTTACTTTGTCTTTTCCTCCTTCCCACCTCCTGCTGGTTTTTCCCCAATAATATTTCCCCTAATTAAAAAAGATTTTTTGGTCAGTTGTGGGTTTAAACTCAGGGCCTGGGCACTGACCCTGAGCCTCTTTGTGCTCAAGGCTAGGGCTCCACCTCTTTTTTTTAAAATTAAATTTTATTTTATTTGAGAACATACTGTACAGAGGGGTTACAATTACATGGGCAGGATAATGCGTACATTTCTTACCAAGCATTGCAGCCTCCTCCTTTGTTTACCCTTCACCTCCCTTCCCAGCCTCCCCCCTCCCCCCCAATCCCAATCCTTCTCCTTCTCCCCCCTTCCTCCCCCCCCCCCCCACCGACGTTGTAAAGCTCGTTTTGGACATGATAGGGCTCCACCTCTTGAGCCACAGTGCCACTTCCAGTTTTTGAACGGTTTGGAGATAAGAGATTCACAGGGACTTTTCTGCCCAGGCTGGCTTTGAATCACAATCCTCAGATCTCAGCCTTCTGAGTAGCTAGGATTACAGGCATAAGCTACTGGCAACCAGCCCCAACTGAATGTTATTTTTAGTCTAGATTTTAATCTAGATTCCACAGGAGTGAAAATAATCTGTGTTTGTCTTTGTGAGTTTGACTTGTCCAACTTACTCATTAGAGACTTTTTAAAATTTGTTTTTGTGTGAATAGGCCTTATGATCTGATAGTAGTGCCACATAACAAGGTGAATCCTGAACACTACATCTTCTCTCCCTTTGGGGTGCTGTATGTACATCCACTGGATGGCAGTGAGGCCATGACGCTGGGTACCTGGCATCGTCACTCTGTTCTCTGGCAACAGCTCCAGTTCATTCCGTTCTTTAAGTATTACCTCTTACGCAAGGCCTTGGCCTGGTAGGTGGGTGATAATGGGGATGGGATGTGGATGGAAAATGCTTGGGAGCCACAGCTTATTGTCACTGACCTCTAATCTGTAGTTGGAAGAAGAACGTGAAGTTGCTCACACTGCATCAGATCCAGACTCTCCTAGGGACTCAACTGCTCTCCGCTGTGCCCCACTTTGGAGCTGGGTTACTCCACATTAGCAGGTAACTTATTAAAAATACAACTTCAGCCAGACATCCAGTGGCTCACCCCTGTAATCCTAGCTACTCAGGAGGCTGAGATCTGAGGATCATAGTTTGAATCCAGCCCAGACAGGAAAGTCTGTGAGACAATGATCTCCAATTAACCAGCAAAAAGCCAGAATTGGAGTCATGACTCAAGTGATAGACTCATTAGCCAGTAGGGGTAAAGCCAAACCAGAGCTCAGAGGTCCTGAGTTCAATCAAGCCCCAGTACTGAGATAAAACAGTAAACAAACAAAGCCCCAGGACTTCAGTCGATTTTTAAAAATTATTTTGACTGCTAAGCATGATGACATACAACTATAATCCCAGAACTTGAAAGGTGAAGAAGGATTGTAAGTTCCAGGCTAGCCTGAGAAATGAAGCAAGATCCTGACTCAAAAAAGAAAGAAAGAGGGGCTGGGAAGGTGGCTCAGTGGTAGAGCACTTGCCTTGCATGCATGAGGCCTTGGATTCGATTCCTCAGCACCACATAAGCCGGAAAAGCCAGAAGTAGCACTGTGTCTCAAGTGGTAGAGCACTAGCCTTGAGCTGAAGAGCTGAGGGACAGTGCCCAGGCCCAGAGGTGAGGCCCCATGACTGACAGAAAAAAAAAAAATGAAAGGAAAGAAAGAAAGAAAGAAAATGTTTTTGAAAACATTTTAGAAAGTACAAAAAAGCACAATGAAAAATAAGTCTTTGAATCTCATCACTCTAATTACTATGAACATATCCTTCTCACCTTTTTCCTACCACATATACAAAATATGACTGTAGTTATATAATCTTAAAGAACCTTTTTCCCCAGAAATTATATATCCTGAACATATATGTATGTAGTTACATGTTTTTCCACATCAGCTTGTCCCAAATGTTGAGCAATTAAGTTTCAAGTCTAAGATCTGAGAGGATCTCATTTTGAAGCCAGCCTGGGAAGAAAAGTCTGTGAGATTCTTATCTACAATTAACCAGCAAAAAGCCAGGGGTGGATCTGTGGCTCAATGAATAGATTGCCAGCCTTGAGAGAAAAAAGCTAAGGGGCAGAGCCCAGGCCCTGAGTTCAAGCCTCAGTACCAACACAGACACAGACACACAAATTGGCTATTCTTATTTTCAGTGCTTTCTTTCCTTCCCCTTATGATGCTGTAGCTACTCTTCCCAACTCATAGTTCCCAACTCAGCTTCTGAGCTGAAAGCATTGAAGGAATGCAGTGGGTAAGGGAAGACATAAGAGACCCTGGAGGCTGTAACCTGGAGACTATATCTGAAGAGGACAGTCACTACTCAGGTCCAACAAACTGCTGTCATTTGAGAGGACAGATGTAGTGTGATCAGCTCCTTTTCTTTTTCAGGATTTCTTGGAAGTCCACATTTGGTTGTGAAATTTCTTAATTTTAACCATTTGGCTCAAGTTTTAATTAAAATATGTGCCAACCAACTCGTTAGTGGCATATACTAGATTTTTTTTTTCAGTCTAAAATGGACACATCATTGCCAGTTTGCAATCTCTGCTCTAGGCAGTTTCCATCCTCCAGTCTTGCCTGATTAAAAATGTAAGGACTTGGGAGTGTGGATATATCTGAATTTAGATTCTGAAAACTAGTAAAGCATTTTGCTCTTTGTGGCTTAGTTTACTGATCTGCAAAATAAGATAAAGATTTCTGCTTTGCCCGGCACCAGTGGCTCATGCCTATAACCCTATCAACTCAGGAGGCTAAGGTCTGAGGATTACAGTTCAAAGCCAACCCAGACCATGAATCCATGAGACTCTTATGTCCAATTCACCACCCAAAAGCCAGAAGTCAGCTGTGGTTCAAAAGGTAGAGCGCCAGCCTCGAGTGAAAAAGCTAAGAGACAGCAACCAGGTCCTGAGCTTAAACTCCAGTACTGGCACTTTTTTTTTTTAACAAAAAGATTTCTGCCCTTGTAATTCCAATGTGAATTAAAATGCAATTGTGGATACAAAGTGACAGAGCCAATGGCTGCTTAGTCTCCACTGAGTAAAAGACAAAATTTTGAGCCCAGGTACTGGTACTCACACTTGTAATCCTAACTATTCAGGAGGCTGAGATCTGAGGATTGCAGTTTGAAGCCAGTCCAAGCAGAAAAGTCCCCATAAGACTCCTATCTCTAATTCATCACCCAAAAAGCTGAAAATGGAATTGTGGCTCAAAGTAGTAGAGCTCTAGCCTTGAGCAAAAAGTGCTCAGCAACAGCATCCAGGCCCTGAGTTCAAGCCCCACAACTGACCAAAACAAAAACAAAACAAAACAAAAAAATTTCTTCATACGTGTCAAGAATGTTTTAAAGGTATGCAGTTCTCTAGGAATAATGGGGAAAGTGGATATCAGAAGTTGCAATTTAATCACCTGGGGTTATAAGACTCTACCTGTCAGCCTGGACTTTGAGAGTCTGCATTTCCTTTATTCCAAGGGGAAAAAAAAAACCTCATTTGTCTCTTCCTCCTAGCCAGAACTTAGGATCTGTTTGATCCTTTCTCCTGGAAGAGAGGTCATAGATATAAACACCCTCACATATCTTACTTTTTTTTCCCCCCAAACACTTCCTCAGCTAGCACCTTTCTAGGCTTGAACTCTTCCAGAGAACTCTGAAGAAGATCTGTCACTGCTGAGCACTGGGATTTTCATTATCTTTGCACACATTTGCATAGTTTGGTGTGAACAGGTCTTGGCCTAAGAAGAGACCACAGGTGTCTAAGGAGCTACCTCTAATGAACTTATCCCTTGCTTCCAGGCTTCTGCAGGAGCTTCACACTGTGTCCTGGCTGCCCAATGACCCTGATTACTGCTATGAGCTGTTGGACCTGCAAAGGGCCCTGGCCAGAAAGAAATACAGGGCCCTGCGGGTACTCGGTTACTTCCTGAATCTCTGTACATCCATTCTTCAGTTGGTAAGAGGCTCCCATTTGTTGTGAACCTTTTCTCCAAACTCAGTTCCCTGGAATTCCAGCATCCTGTTGGTTAAGCTTCTCCCAGGAACCCATGTGTCTTAGAGTCATTGTCCTACCCAGCAGTAGAAGTCAGTCAGGGATCCAGAATAGGTGAGCAGAGACTGAGATTCAAACTTTCTTAAAGGTTGGTTCCAGCCTAAGGGCAGAGATGATTAAGAATAGAAGAATGTTTCTTTTGTTGGTTGTTTGTATTGACTTTAGGGAATTAAGACACTTGGTAATTTGAGGCCTGGAATTCTGATCTTTTTCATTCTACAGGAATTATCTTTTGTGTGTGTGTGTGTGTGTGTGTGTGTGTGTGTGTGTGTGTGTGTGTGTGTGTGTGTGTGTGTGTGTGTTTGTGGAGGGGGAGGGGTTTGAACTCTAGACAGGTGCTCTACCATCTGAGCCACTCTACCAGACTTTTTGTGTTGGCTATCTTTTTCTTTCTGTCCATCATGGGCACTGAACTCTGGGCCTGGGCTCTGTCCCTCAGTTCTTCAGCTCAAGGCTAGTGCTCTACCACTTGAGCCATGGCACTACTTCCAGCTTTTTCTGCTTATGTGATGCTGAGGAATCGAACCCAGGGCCTCGTGCATGCAAGGCAAGCGCTCTACCACTGAGCCACCTTCCCAGCCCCTGCGTTGGCTATCTTTTGAGGTAGGGTCTCACTTTATGCCTAGACCAGCCTGTACTGTGATCCTCCCATTTGTGCTTGTCTGCATCACTGGAATGACCAGGTATACATCACCTCACAGAGACACTGGTTGAGACAGAATCTTGTGACTTTTTAGCCCTAGCAGACTTGAATCTCCAATCCTCCAATCTCTGCCTCCCAAGTAGATAGGATTACATGATTGAGCCGCAGCACCTGGCTGGGATAATCTTTGAGCCTTTATGGAAAGTGTGTCTTGCCTCGGTTGCTAGTAAATACATGTGATTATGGTCCTACGTGCCTGTAATCCCAGCACTTTGGAAGCTGAAGTGGGAGGATTAAAAGCAAACCACAAATTCAAGTCCAACCTGGGTTACATAATATGTCTGAAGCCAGTGGGTTCTTGATAGCAATTCCCTGTGTCAAAAAAAACCCAAAACCAAAACCAAAAAAAAAAAAAATGTCTTCTGATGGTTGCTGTACCACGTACAGAAAATTAATGATGGATAAAAGATCTAAGTGTGAAAGGAAAAGAGGACAGGTTTAAGATTACAAGATCATACAGGGTGAGAGTTCTCAGTATAGGGAAGGATTTCTTAAATAAAATACAAACTTGTAAACTACAGCAAGTCGGTGTGCTTGTCTATTAAAATTAAAGGTACAGTTTAAAAACAGCAGTTAGGGCTGGGAATGTGGCTTAGTGGTAGAGTGCTTGCCTACCATGAAGAAAGCCCTGGGTTTGATTCCTCAGTACCACATAAACAGAAAATGCCTGAAGTGGTGCTGTGATTTAAGTAATAGAGTGCTAGCCTTGAGGAAAAGAAGCTCAGGGACAGTACCCAGGCCTTGAGTTCAAGCCCCAGGACTGGCAAAACAAAACTCCAGTTAATAAATGAAAAAACAGGGGCTGGGGGAGTGGCTCAAATGGTAGGGCACCTGCCTAGCAAGTGTGAGGCACTAAGTTCAAACTGAGAACCTCCCAAAAAAGAGGAGGAGGAGAACAAAGAGAAGGAAGAGAAAGAAGAGGATGAAGAGGCAGCTGAGCAGGAAGAGGAAGAGAAGGAGCAAGACGGGAAGAGGGAGGAGGAGGAGGAAGGGAAAAGAGGGGAAAACAAAGGTATTAGAACAAACTGAGGAACTTTGTATGCTACTGCCTGGAGTGGGAGAGTCCGTCCAAGTTGGCAGTCTCCGAAAGAGGTAGGATGGGAGATGGAGAACAAGAATTACCACAGCTGGTAACTGAATTGCTTTAGAGCCAAGCTTGCAATTGGTGCTAAGTGAATGCATTCTGCTGCCTGCTACTAGAGCCAGAAGACATTGGAGATATTAACGAAAATGTGTTGTTAATTGTGGTGGTGGGTTGATATCCTTTATCCATTGCTAAGAGATTTTTATATTGAATGGATGTTTACTTTCGCCAATTGTTTTTTTTTTCTGCTTCTGTTCAAATGATCTCAGGATTTTTTTCCACTTAGTTTGTTCATTTGAATTTCCAGTCTGAGGACACCATTGCATTACTAGGATAAATTTGCTTCCCTTCTCCTTTCCTCCCCTTGTCCCCTTTCCTCCCTACTCCCATTGTCCCTTCCTCCTTTAATCTGCTCTTCCTTTTTCCTTTTCTTGAATGATTTAATTTTATCCTTATTTGGAGAGCTTCAGGATAGCAAGATAAAATCCCATATACCTTTTATCCAGCTTTTAACTTTGCTACATTTAGTTTACTATTTATATTCTTTCTTTTTTTTTGTATTACATATGAACACATTTTCCTCTAACTCCTTTAAGACCAAATTCAAGGTATCAATTCACTTTATTTCTAAACCTGCCAGTGTGTTTTCTCAAACAATATTATATTTCTCCTTCCTTCCTTCCTTTCTTTCTTTCTTTCTTCCTTTCTTTCTTTCTTCCTTTCTTTCTTTCCTTCCTTCCTTCCTTCTTGTCATTCATGGGGCCTGAACTTTGGGCCTAGGCGCTGTCCCTCAGCTCTTCACCTCAAGCAAGCACTCTACCACTTGAGCCACACCATCCCTTCCTGTTTTCTGGTGTTTAATTGGAGATAAACTTGCCCAAGCTGGCTTTGAACCAAGATCCTCAGATCTTAGCCTCTTAAGTAACTAGGATTACAAGTATGAGCCACCAGTACCTGGCTACATTTTCTTTAACTATACATAATTGCTAAACAAATAAATATAAATGCCTCCATTCCTGTTACTGTCTTACTTCTAAAGTTCTCTTTGATACAGATTTGTGTGTGTGTGTGTCAGTCCTAGGGCTTAAACTCATGGCTTTCTCATTTTTGCGTAGCTTTTTCACTCATCATTGGTGCTCTACCACTTGAGCCACACCTCCATTCTAACGTTTTTCTAGTTGATTGAAGATCAAATCTTGCAGACTTTTCTACTTAGGCTGGCTTTGAACCTTGATCCTCTAGGTCTCAGCCTCCTGAATAGCTAGGATTATAGGTATAAATCACTGGTTCCTGGCTATGATCTTTTTTTTTTCCAGTCCTGGGGCTTGATCTCAGGGCTTGGGCACTGTCCCTGAGCTTCTTTTCTTTTGTGCAAGGCTAGTACCCTACTATTTAAGCCACTGTGCCACTTCTAGCCTTTTCTGTTTATGTAGTACTGAGGAATTGAACCCAGGGCTTCCTGCATGCTAGGCAAGCACTCTATCACTAAGCCACATTCCCAGCCCTGGATTTTTTTTTAATATCCCCTTTATTTTCAATTTTTCTTTATTAATTTGGGCTTTTTTCTTTTTTTGGAATGTTACTCTCATAAACTGATGGAAATCATTTTATTTGGGAGTCTATCTTACAGTAGGTTTATGTCATAAGTTCGCTTTTTTTTTTTTCATCTTGTCTTGATGTTTTTGGTTTCCTGTGATTTCCAGTTAAATCTTTCTGTGTTTCTTGTCTTTCCTTGGATCGCTTACAACTTTATTGTTACTACTATCCTCCATTGACTTGGATACTAATACATTTTACTCTTCTTGTGGTTGTCCAGGTATCACCCAGAGTCTACTGGTCAGTCTTAGTTTTAGAATCTTGATTTTGTTTCTTTGCAGACTTTCCTAGTTGAGTGGGTGGCTGCATGACTCAGTTCTGGGCAAAAAATAAGTATACATGGAAGAAACTGGAAAAATTCTTTAAAAGAGACAGATCCAACTAGAATGGTGTATGTGTGTGTGTGTGTGTGTGCGTGTGTGTGTGCGTGTGTGTGTGTGCCTTTCCTGTCCTTTTACTTGTAGTGAAAGTTGTGGTGATGGAGAAGCCATCACCATGATTGGGGAAAGTCACACTGAGGTGGGAGGAGGAAAACAGGAGAAGCTTTCTTTTCTTTTTCTTTTTTTTTGTCTGTCGTGGGTCCTTAACTCTGGGCCTGGGCACTGTCCCTTAGCTCTTCAGCTCAAGGCTAGTGCTTTACCACTTGAGCCACAGTGCCACTTCCAGCTTTGTTCTGTATATGTGGTGCTGAGGAATCTAACCCAGGGCCTCATGCATGCAAGGCAAGCAGTTTACCACTGAGCCACCTTCCCAGCCCTGAGAAGCTTTGTTTTAACCATTATTATTGGGCCTATGTATCATCTATAGATTTCTCTCTCTGTCTCTCTCTCGGTCTCTCTCTGTCTCTCTCTCTCTGTCTCTGTCTCTCTCTGTCTCTCTCTCTCTCTGTCTCTCTCTCTTTATTGGTTGTGGGGCTTGAACTTTGGACCTGGGCGCTATCCCTGAGCTCTTTAGCACAAGGCAAGCACTCTACCACTTGAACCACAGCACTACTTCCTGTAGATTTCTTTCATTGCATTAAGTAAATAAACTCATTTGCTTAAGCCACAGTTTTTCTAATATCCTGGTAGCTGCAGCTAAATGCATATTTAAGGTTTGTAATGTGGCTACTCTACTTGTATTTTTATTTTAAAATACTTAAAAACCTTACTATATGCATATTCTTAATTAAAATCCCAAAATAGTTATATCTGGTACTAAGGCTTAAACTCAGGACTTGATACTTACTAGGTTAGCACTCTACAATTTAAGCCATATCTTCAACTCTGATTTTTGCTGGTTGTTTTGGAAATAAAAAAAGTCATAGGCTTTTTTTGTCCAGGCAGGCTTCAAACCCAAACCCTATACTCTGGATCTCAACCTCCTGAGTAGCAAGGATTACAGATGTAAGCAACTAGGCCTCAGTTCATATTTTATAACTAACACTTACAAGTCCACTTCTTTTTTTTAAAGCAAACAATATTTTATTAGAATTATATATAATACATAATGATAAATATAAAAAACATATTAAGTATAGGA